TTTGACCCCCTGAAGCGTCCTACATCAATAGATAGTATATATGCAGGAAATCACAAAATATGTTCTCATTTGATTATTTCTAGGTGGACAGACTCATAAAAATGATTCCCAGCATCTATTTAACAATGGGAACAATGTATAAGGAGCCCAGGACCATAGGAGAATGCCATGTTGCACAGTGTACCCCCCTCTTCTGGTGGTTTACCCCCTGTGAAAGATTTTCCTGCAGGACCGGACCTCAAGGGGGGTGAGGGGCATATTCCTATGCATATTTAGAGTATATCTATCATATAGCTAGCCCATGATACATGCAGGATCCTTCTACAGGAACAAAATAATAGAAAGTCGCATTTTGATGTTTTTGATGTTTTTCAGTATTTCACCCTTGCCCACATGGCCCACCCAGCTCATATATCATCAGTGGTACATGCATATATGTGTCTTGTACTAAGGATCAGCTCAAAATAGGCTGGAGTGTTGAGGTAGTGTATATACTTGCTATTTCTACTGATAAGGGGACCATACCTTCAAAACATCGAATCTTGATAATCAGAAACCTGGAGTACATTTGAAAAATATTCAGTATTATATATACAGATTTATAGCACAATCTAACAAGAATTGAGTGCTGAGGAAGTGAAATAGATGACAAATTGAGTGTGGGAAACTTCAAAGGCCCAAAACATCGACAATGGTCAGTTGAGCAGTGGTAGGACTTTAATGCTGGGTCAACTCATATTTACACTACATCTCTTCAACCCACCCTATCCTCAGGGCATTAGGTAGTATAGGTTCCTTAGGTAGTTTACCATATATCCTACATATTTTTAATGATACCTTCAACCTGTATCATATAAATGTGACTTTGTGTGAAAAGATGTCAATTGTCACTTTTCACACATATGTCATTTTACCTGTCATTTAGTCAATCATTCATGGATCTCTCTGAGGTTTTAGGGCTATCATCAGGGACATATAGGAAAGGTATCCTAGGTCTCTGATCACTTATCACAGTCTTGATTACCATGCTGGCTCCTGATCAGTAGAAATACCCCCTTTACATCAGATCTCAAATTTCCGCCCTATATCTAGTTGATCCTTAGCACAGGACACATATATGTGTGTACCACTAATGATATATGAGCTGGGTGGGCCATGTGGGCAAGGGTGAAATCCTGAAAAACATCAAAAACATCAAAATGCGACTTTCTATTATTTTGTTCCTGTAGAAGGATCCTGCATGTATCATGGGCTAGCTATATGATAGATATACTCTAAATATGCATAGGAATATGACCCTCACCCCCCTTGAGGTCCGGTCCTGCAGGAAAATCTTTCACAGGGGGTAAACCACCAGAAGAGGGGGGTACACTGTGCAACATGGCATTCTCCTATGGTCCTGGGCTCCTTATACATTGTTCCCATTGTTAAATAGATGCTGGGAATCATTTTTATGAGTCTGTCCACCTAGAAATAATCAAATGAGAACATATTTTGTGATTTCCTGCATATATACCATATCTATTGATGTAGGGCGCTTCAGGGGGTCAAATAAGGATCGGAATCTCTTCATATATACTAATAAACATGTTCTGAATGCCCTGGGACACTTCCCTATCAAAGGGGCAAAAATGCGAAAGTGTTCTGTACCCTACCCTATTCCCTATTTTGAAAGGGGCCTGGAGGGGGAGCTGTCACACAAATAAACAAAAAAAGCGGTCTATTATATTATATTATACATATATATACTAAACTACTACCTATATATGAACAGGGACCTATTGTAGTGTGCTGGTGAAGCTGCAGTGAGGTGGGGAGGGTGTGAGAATAATTATAATTGTGGGGTATACCAAATTGGGTGATGTTTGAGGTGTTGTGGGGTAATTCCCACACCATGTGGCTGAAAAATGCGGAGGTGTGAGGTGTGGGGATAATGTAGGGAGGCCTGACATGATGATGCATCAATGATACATCACTATGCATCATTTTGCCAACTGGGATCATCAGATGAGGTTCAGGCACCACTGCTCACTAACATGGTTGATGCATCATCAAAATCTGCTACTTAGCCTGTTTTTATGCATCATTATGACAGTATAGCCTGCTCCTTCATCCCCTTCACCCTCTCAGACCTCACCAGCACCTAGCTCGCACTCATATGGTTCGGGCTCATCCCCATCCCCACCACACCTGATGAAAGACTCGCATATGAACGAAAACGCATCCACACGCTCGAGAAACAACACTCAGAAACTGACAATCCTTTCGATTTGATCAACTTTCATTTTTTGGGACGGTATGAGATGGGGTATGCGAGGGAGATCAGGGGGGATGTTGTTAGGGCAAGGCCGGGATTGGGGGAAGTGCTTGCGATGTGGGATGATGAGCAGGATGAGAGGCGGTTTGCGATGTATGCTAAGAAGATGGAGAGTTTGTATGTTTCTGCGGGCGTTGAGAGACCGATACCGAACGATGTGGATGCGATGTAATTTGAGAGTGTTGACGTGATGTAGACTGAGCTATTGACAAACCTCCAGTTATCGACACGGTTCAAACTGCGAGCCGCCTAATACACTGTACTGTCTTAACTTTGACATGTCACTTGCTATACGTCAGGCAAGCACTCGCAGGTTGTAACAAGAACATGGCAAGTTATGTACCGCATGTACCACAGTTATCACAGATGCCAATTACTCACTGGGATTTTCGCCTGAACAACCAGGCTTACTGCCCATAACGGTCAAAGGTCACAGGGACAAGTTGGAATGTGAGTTAAACGAGCGACCTGTCGCACGTCTATGTTATTCTAAGAAACCGATAAGTACCGAACATGTCTCATAAGCAGGGCGCAGAGTTGAATATTCAGAAATCTGGTCTACCCTCGAGAGATGCCGGTACACTGATACAACTTCGAGAACGACTCTGTGACCACTTCAATGGGATGGGCACATCCCGCCTGAATCCTCCATCAACAAATGTACCCACTGTCAGCTGTCTTCGAACGGACCCCGACAGGAGTGTAGTAAGTGGGGTGTTCCCGAGCCTTGTCGGGGACCTGCAACTTGTCCGATGTGGAAATTCGGGGAAATACGTCCTGTGAAACTTTGACCTGTAACTCTGGGCGGTAGACTTGCGGGGGTCGGGCTTGTGAAGTGTGTGCGCTTCCATCGTGGTAATAACGCGCGTTCAGTAGAGCCATATAGGAGTTCACATATACTAAGGGCGTCGAATAAGCTTTCTGCGTGCAATACGGAGCTAACAAAGCGTACATTTGGACAGTAGCCACTCGATTGCAAGGTAGATGAGGTTGTTTGGCATTACTGCGCCCTGTAGGAGGCGATAAGCCACGGTATTGTAAATGCCATAGGGGGCACTCACTGTGATTATGCACGCCATCGATAACACACTGAAAGTTGGGAATCAGTGGCAGGATGGCGAAAGAAACGATACGAAACGCATACCTTGTCAAGCATCCTGTATTGATAATGTCTCTCACGAGCGTCTGAAGTGTCCTATCTGTTCTACAATACTATCTATCAGCCAGAGAAGAAAAAACACTAGGAAAAGCCATACTTAGTGAACCCCGTCTTGGCAGTAGCAAGGAGGTAACACAATGAAGTGGCGATGAGGATGTCGATCAACGTGACCGCGCCCAAACCCAGGTAGACGGTCCACCGAATACTATCCAGCTCCGAAAAAAGATGGCACTTGAATCTAGATTAATGTGTTAGGTGAGATAGCCAATCGGTGCAGCGAGGCTTTTATTTACATTGCCCTGAGCAGAACTGGTGAAGAGGAAGGGTCAGTAGCAGATCAAGAAAATGCATTCTACTTCACCGATGGCAACGCCTGTGGGATACAGATGGGTCAACGTCAGTCAAAAAAAATTACGACACTTTGTGTTTACTTGCCTAAAACCGAGACAATGGGTACCGTCTTATGGTATTCTCAGATCGACAGGAGGCCAGCTGCGATATGACCGCTTACCATGACCGCAGGCAAAATTCTAGTTCTCCCTTTGCTAACTAAGATGATCAGGTAAGCTCAGTGTCATTGTAGCCTCAGTGGATGCATACGTATCCATATCCGCTGCAGATATAGGCTATGGTACGAAAGTATATCAGCAGGAAAATCCACTGGCCGAAGTAATACTCACAGGTGCACAGTATACACAATAAGTGTCTGAGAAGTCATGAGATGAGGTACATCACGCAATAGCTCGCTCGTGATAGCTTACGTCGATGATCATCATCACCTACGCGTGATGAGATCAAAAGGGAACAGTCCAGTATAGTTGCGATCATTGCGCACCTTAAAGCTCCACACAATCTCGGGAAGTGCTAGCGGATTTGCATAGTTGACGATAAGATAATAGTATATGATGTGATTGACCAAAGCGACATGCAAAGCATCGAGAAAACTGCGAGTGCGATCGTCAAGTCAACTGTAGCACCAGCGAACAAGCGCTAGAAACCTTACCAGAGCCAGCATACCTTAACATTGTGTTAGATCAATGGGGGCTTTCCTTTCATTCTAGTACACAGGGACTTACTGCAATTTTGTAGAATGTGATTCCCTCGTCCCTGTGTGCCTGGAAGTAAAGAAACGCTTGGACATTGCTCAAACCGAAAAAACTATCAAGATCAGTCGGAAATGAGCGACCCTCATATTGAAAATTGGACTGACATTGCACCAATAGTAGCGCCGATATATAGTGCACCAAAGGAATTATTCAGATCGATGTTGAATGCCATGTTGGATGCCATGCTAGAATGCAAATCTCTCGAGCGAGAGCTATAAGGCGGTCATGAAACACTTCGTGGTTTATACCTGTTCCGAGAGTGGTGCCCGCATCAAGAAGAGATCTTTATTTTGGTTCATAGTATGCAGCCCCCTGATCAGACCTATGCACCAAAGTCCCACGGAAACAGCATATGTGCCTTGATGTAGCTGGTCTCTAATACTATGCGGAAGATGAGGCCTTGCGATGAGTAGCAAGAGGTAAGGCAACATGCATACGTTTATATGGCATCGACGGGAGCGTCAGCATCACTCATGACAGTGATCCTGAGCGACGCTTTTCAAATTGCGGAAGCCGTTATCAAGGTCAGAGGAAAGGTGGGTCAACAGTAACAGCACTTCGCCTGGGAGGAAAATGGCATATGCGTCTCGAAGAAGTCGTCAGCACAGCTCATCCGGCAGTTCATCAACGATCCGCGTGTATAAGATTCGGGAGATTTATGATATGCGCGATTATGCTAATAAATATCCTCCAGATTCCCAACAGCATTATGCGTGATGCACCGTGGTTGGGACGGGCTGTGCGTAAGAGAGTCCCTTGTTGAACTCCAGAAAGTAGACCTCGGACATTATTATATAGCCGGCTGTACTAATTAAAGGATATACATCAATAGAGCGGGCGTCACTGGATATGCTGACCTGCCTCGGAGGCCTGGATGATGATGCCAACAGACCTTAAATAGCTGATACAAGGAATTGCAGGAAGGATTTAAAAGCGCGATTCCGGTAGCTGGGGATAACCAAGGTGAAGGAGTGTATCCGTCATGCGCGAGGGTCCAGCACCATTGGTCTCGACAGTAGCGTCAGCATCACTCGCAACGATTTTCGAATTGCGAAAGCTGAAATTATCAAGGTCAGGGAAAAGGGTGGGTCAACAGTAACAGCAAGCACTTCGCCTGGGATGAAAATGTCATGGAGCCGATCAGCACAGCTCATCCGGCAGCTCGAGCGCTCATCGTTATCGATGACCCGTGTTGTGACACGCACAGCTGTCCTCTTTCCCAAGTTCGTTCTCCCACGTCTGCTATTCTCTTCGATCTATCCTCTAACCTTGCTGCATCTGATCAAAATGACTCAGTCCAGGGTCAGAAGAGGCACTTTCCCTGGCTCAAGGATTTGAGCAAAGTCATCCCGTTCGTTTGAGACGTTCCACGAAGAGCGGACGCCACGAGAGTAGGAATACAAGAAGAGCAGGAACATACAAAACAGTGAACTTGAATTAGACTCAGACAAGAGAAGGAGAAACACACCATTCAGGATATACTGTTGACTTGAACACGAGCGAGTTGGTCGTCACTACTCGACTACCCCGGTTGCCATCCACCTGAAAAACAAATAATTATATCTCACCGCATCCCTAATACCCTTCCTTCAACTCCTTGTTAAGCATCGCAGGGTTCATCCCTGCACTTCTTCCACCTTCATCCCCTCAGCCACGACTAGGCGATAAATTCATCATTTCGCTTCGTCCAGCCGCCAACAAGTACCACAATATTCCCTCAGATTCATGCTAACGGTGGTGGTGCGAGCGAAGCAGAGTAGGGTATACTGTGGTATGCTCAATTGAGGTAGTAGAAAACCGATGCCAGCGCGGATCGCAGTGAACACCCCAACTGAGAAGACATTATATAATGATTAATGTGATGCTAGAGGACAAATGGAGATCTCCAGCGGATTGGTAAGTGCTCGTTACCTTACAGCTCTTTGCATAAAGGATGGCACTGGCGTGAAATTTTCGTTCAATTAGGAAATGTTAGACTTAGTGAAATTTTGCTCGTGTACGCTCATACTACCCTTATATTATCATCTTCGCAACATGGGATTTCGCAAGATCAGTCGTGATGTGAAACTTGCGGCAATCCGACTCCATTTGGATGAGCTCATGCACCTCCTTGCGACAAACCAATTCATATCTGTCCATTTCACGACAATTTTCCGCAAGCTCGAACGTGCTGATGTGAGCTACAAGAAACTCAAGGTGGTGTAAGGATCTTTGTGGGCTGGGACTGCTCAGGCTCGTTATCTTCGCCGTCAGAGTCAGAGTCAGGTTCCTCTTCCTCCAAAACATCAGTAAACCGGTGAGACTCAGATATTAGTAGATTTTGTAGTATTTTCCAAGCCCAATGCTTCTTTCCTGTAAATTACGATACAAAGTAATATATAGCAATCTAAAGCAATGTAATCACGCCAATTCACGCTCAGTTCAGACTCAGATATTGCTCTACATCACTTTATATTGCTTTATATTGTTTTATAACGTCATGTATAGGAAAGAGCATTTCGGCGTACAAAATATGGGAATATCGGTGGCTCACCGGTTTGCTGATGAAGTTCTTTCATTCGAATATCGTCCTCATCGGACCCATTGGAATCAAGGTCACTGTCATGCTCTAGCAGGCTCTTGTGTTTTTTGGAGGCAGGAATAGTTATAAAGGGCATGATGATAATGAATTACAGGGGGTGTGAGTGTACAATGAGCAAAATTTCACGCCGGTGCCATCCTTTATGCAAAGAGCTGTAATTGCTTCTATACGCATTTTGGGAGTTTCAATTCAGATTCTCCTTCATTTCGTCAAGCTCCTCCTTCCTCCACCGTGCACCACGTTACCGCTGTCGAAGTGCCACCAGCAACACCAAGTCGCTCTCAGAAGCATGAGGAAGAAAGAGAAGCCAAACTTGATCACATCTTCCTCTATCGAACGTCTCGATCCCTCCTGAACAAACTCTCAATATGGCAGCTTATATCCCTCATGGATACATCGCGCACTGAAACGACGCACGGAGCTCTCCACAAGAATGAACGTGACCGGATACAGAAGACGTAGTTGAACCTCTGTGGGTATTGACCAACAACGAGACCAATTGTTTTAGGTTCAGATCAAAGCCCCAAGAGAAATGCACCCTCCTCCGCTCTAGGCTCTTTCCCAACTTTCCCCTTTCCGATGAACGGATCCTCTACAGACGAATCCCTCCCCGGTTCTTCTCCCCACCATTCATCGTTCGCTACCGCACCAGGAACAAAGTGAAACAACAACAAGCGAGTGCGCAACGCAGGACAAAGCACACAGTGCGCTAACCCGGCAAGTCGACGACTGGTGTTGCAGATAGACGCCAGGACAATAGCGCCTGCTGTAACCGCCAAACGTATCCGCACCGCAAGTAACCATCCTCGTCCCCGCAATGCCGTGCATAAACCACCTCCAGACAGCTCGAGTTCTATACCTATATTCAGGAGCTCAAGGTCACGCATCACCGAGAGAATCTCGAATGTATACACCGCAGGGAGTTTAAATACATATCCTACTGGGAGAACTTCAATCCCTCCCACTACCCACAGCTCAAGTCTTACGCCGTTCGGCACAGACGAGAAACGTTCTCTCGCATCTGGCCCCTTTTACTTGATTCACCTGACAGCTTGGGCAATACTTATATAACAGACAAAGACGAAGATGCGGACGAGGACGAGGAGTTATGGCTACAAATGTCTTCGCCCGATATACTGCCGCTCGGCAAGAATGGGCGGGTCGCGCGTGCCAAGGAACGCATTTCATCAACCACAGCAGACAATGAGGCTTGGAAGGTAGGGACATCAATTTGTGCTGCGAGAGTTGAGGTGCGTGACGGGTAGTGTATTGTATGCGTTTTAACACCTTTGGGGTAATTGTTCTTCGTTGGTTTAGCAGATGTCGTAGAGGCACTTAGCCTGCCGTATACTACCATGGACAAGTATGGCGTAGCCACGTCAAGCTCTTAACATCTCAAAGACGTAGTCCAGACTGGTTACACGTCTAACCCGATATAGCTTCAAAGTCGTCACGTCATGTTCTTGATGTCTGCCTCACGTCAGTGTTCAGCAGTCATTTTCTCTCTCCATTCTGCCTCGGCCAGATACAAAATAATTCTCTGCTATGTCTCCACTTCTTTCAAGCTTGGTTGCTCCCGATGTCCTCCGATTCAGAGTCCCCCCCTATAACTCACTACTAGTAACTCACGCGTCGTGCTATCAATCATACTGCACCTATGTGAAGGCAGCAACACAACTCACTGCCACACTAATTGACCTCGCATGAATAGAGGAACTACCACGCCAGTGAGTCATGTGGTTCAATACAGGACGCAAACTACTCATACTCACACACGATTTATTCTTGCAGTGTCTGCATTGGCTATCATAGTCGCAATTGGTAGGGCATCCCTGTGATTCAATGTCGGCAAGGTCACTGGCAGGTGTGGATGCTGCAGAGATTGATGCTGTCAAAGCAGCAGCAAGAAGGAGGACGAAGGTAAAACGCATTGTTCAATGTTTGTGAGGGAGGATGTGATATGGGTTCAAATCTATCTGAAGGGGACAGTAGGAAGACGGCTTGCTATTATGTGCTGAATATTGACATCCGTGGCGATGAAGGAAGAACCTATCTACCCTTTCAAACAGATGCAATGCCAGCAGACTGCCGCTTTAGATTGTACGCATCTAGTGACATTTTGGAACGTGGGCTGACTTTACGAAACATTTGCAGTGCGTCAGGGTCAAGGTTTTTCGCGCGAGTATTGGTCCAATCTCACGAATTTATCGACCATTTCCGTGCTCGAGGTGGAGATATGGCGCTATAGAGGTGGTGAAACGGTCCCACTAAACAAGGTAAGAACGACAAGACATACCAGTCGATCGTGTTCAGCGTCGAATTCTACTTTGGTCTCGTTGCGCAGGAGTTTTTGCATCACGCCCTCAGTCCGTCGCTGCCTCTCGCACTGATTCTCTTGAGTTGCTGATATCACACACCAAGATTCTTCATGGACCCTCACGCGCACGTTCATAGAAGTCCAAGAGCGTGGCCGAATGAATGTCGTCACAATTCAGTGATCCGCTTCCAAGGCCTCCGATACCAAGGGCCTACGAATTGCGGGAAGTGCATGTATGTCATCAAATTGTCATAGATTAGATTCAATTCCAGTG